TCATATAAGAACTTCACAATTGAGCGTGTTTGACTTGGAACAATTTAGGGATAAATGATCTTTTGTGAAATTTTCTAGAAAGTGTGCAAGTGATGACAAAATATGCTAAAAATTCTTGTGTTGGTTTGTGAGGCCAGTCGTTGATTCTAAAGACGGATGGACATCTCACAAAGAGTTACCTATGGAGGGTTTTGTCCGATGAAAGGTTTTGATCAATGAGGAGTTATGTGAAGTATCGTGGACACCGTTGAGACGTGAAATCCGAGGGGTGTTACAAAGATAACTCAACATCTTACTTTTTTCTCTATAATTAATTTTATACATTAATTACAACTATTGTTTCGTAAGATTTTTGGTTGCTTTCATGTCACTCGCTGATCCATGCATATTTTCATCAATGATCATTTATTGAATAAGAAAAGGTGGACGAGGATATCAAAAAGGGCTACCATGGAGGGTATTGACCAGTGAAGAATTTTGACCAACAAAGTGTTATGTAAAATATCATCGTGTGAAGTGTTGAGGAGTGAAATCATTGAGAAGTTAAATTTGAGGAGTGTTACAAATGGTACCAAAGCAGGTCATCTCTCCTAGTACGGTGTGATTTGGGGACGAACTAAAGGGGAAGTTGGTAGGCTTGTTATAGCTAGGACACATCGAAATGAGAGGGATCCAAAGATTGTATAGTTGAGAATGACTTAAGAGAATTAATTTTTATTACCTATACCAACAAGATGCATTTACTTTTCGGTATCTCATCATATAAGAACTTCACAATTAAGCGTGTTTGACTTGGAACAATTTAGGGATAAATGATCTTTTGTGAAATTTTCTAGAAAGTGCAAGTGATGACAAAATATGCTAAAAATTCTTGTGTTGGTTTGTGGGGCCAGTTGTTGATTCTAGAGGCGGATGGATATCTCACAAAGGATTACTTATGGAGAGTTTTGTCTGATGAAAGGTTTTGACCAACAAGGAGTTATGTAAAGTATCGTGGAAACCGTTTAGATGTCAAATTCGAGGGATGTTACAAAGACAACTCAACATCTTACTTTTTTCTCTATAATTAATTTTATACATTAATTACAACTATTGTTGTTTCATAAGATTTTTGGTTGCTTTCATGACACTTGCTGATCCATGCATATTGTCATCAATGATCATTTATTGAATAAGAAAAGAGACAAAAATAATAAGATTTGAAAAAATAAAAATTAACCATACCAAAATCTCTTAAATTTATAAGATACGATATATATATATATATATATTTGTGAGAATTTGGTTAAAAAAATAAAATAAATAAAGCAAATGTGACGTAATTGAAAAAAATGCAAGACAAAAATAAAAGGGAGGGAAGGGTGCATAAGGCTACAAAGAATAATTAGTTCACTTTCCCATTTTTCTTCATATTTACACTATGTTTGATAAGTGGAAAGTAGGAAAAAGTTAATCAACTATACACTGTTAGTGTAAAGTTTTTTTACACTAATAACCAATCATATCTTTTAATAGTGACATGTCAGTTACTTATTTAATGAAATAATAATAAAATAAATAACTTTAAAAGATATGATTGGTTTCCAGTTTTACTAGCAATGTATAGATGATTAACTATATATACATGAGTGAATAAGATATTTCTTAGAGAATTTAGGAGAATTTCTTGTATAAATAGTCTATTAAAAAAAAAAGCATATAAAAACATAGGAAGGGTGGTTGAGATTTTTTTCGTGAATCATTAATTTGTTTTTACACTAAACCGAAATTATTTAAAACAAACACCTTTACGTTATGAAACAAGGCTTTTATGAAGAGACTTTTAATTTGAGTATCTATGATTTTTGTACATGCACAAGATATGATACTTTGCACTCATAGAATGCAAATTGAGTTAGCACATCCACAACTTTAAGCACATTCGTTTACTTGCTACCCCGGCCATGGTTAGAGACAAAAGGTCAAAAGTAGCGTATATTGTTGAATCATGATATCATGCTGCAAGAGGGTGGGGTAGGGAAATCTGAAGTATGAACATGCATGCTCAATGTCAAAGTCTTCCATGTTCATGCCTTCTTAGAAAAGAATGCCTAATCTCAACAAACACATTTTTTGGCAAAACGTTAAACTAACTGCCTACCTAATAAATGCCACTAATGTATTCATAAATTCAGCACAAACACAAGATGAGAACGGAATTTAGCTGTCATGATGCCGCGCATCTTCTTCAAAATTAACAGATAATTTTCAACTTTTTTTATTTTATAATTTTTATCTACTGATTCAGTTCATGTAAAAGTATCTCTAATCCTTATCGATCTATAGTTCTCAATTAAAGAATACAAGTATCGAATAATTTATATTAACAATTTTCAATTTTAATTTTTTTAATATTTTAGATTACGTTATTTTCATCTAATAAAAAATATTATAGAGAAAAGTTGTATAACTCTATGTACAATTAGGTGAAGTTTGGTAATGATATAATTTTGAACGTACATTAAATTTATAATATCTTGCATTTGCTAGAAAAAGTAACATATTGAAGATTGATTCAAGGGTTATGTACTTTTTTAGGATAAGAATTATATATGTGGTACATATCGATGATTGATTAAGGATTATATGTTTTTTTAGGATAAAGATTATATTCATTTGGTTTGTTTCAAATAATGTAGAGATCTAATTTTATGCAAAAAAAAATAAATAAATAAAATCTGTTAAGTAGGATTCTCTTCTAGGGAGGATATTTATAATCCTAAGCAAATAATGGCATGAGTAATAATATGTACGAAGTTATGGTATGTTTTGAGAGAGAAAAAAAATTCAAACACTAGTTTTCTGAAAATAAATACTTTAAACCAAGAAGCATTTTGATTAATGGTATATATTAAAATAAACTTAATCCAGCATCATCACAAGTAGATCAAGATCTTATCCTCTACAAGATTTATATAATTTACAAAAAAAAAAGTAAAATTATTTCTGTACCATTATCTTCAATCAGTGGTCTTACCCCACATTTTTTGCTATGGATATGTTCGTGATTGGGTCTCACAGTCTCCACGCGGCCACGCCTTATATTCCATTAGCATCATCGAGGCATCAGGCCCACAAGATCCCGTGAGTACCCAAAAATAAATAAAATAATATATCTTTTAATAATTTTTTAAAATATTATTAATTTTTATCGATCAGTAATCATTTGTTAATGAGAACTAAATCCAATATTATTTAAACAAATGACCTTTGGATAAAAAAAAATATTTTAAGAATTAACTAAAACTAGTGCAATATTTTTGACCCTTTTCCATTTTTTTTTTAAAGATCCATGTGTTTGATACTAAGTGAATCAAAAAGATAATTATTTGAGAATGAAAAAAAAAAATTAACTAGGGTGCTTAGGCTTATTTATTATTAATTGAGATAATGAGAATCCCATATGCAACTAATGAAAGTTTGATAATTGGGAAAGTGGGAAGAATCAGAACATAAATTAGGAAAATTCCAAGGGTGCGTCTGTCCTATACCTGACACCGCCAAATCCAATCTCGAAAAATTCCAATCCTAAATCGTGTTCACACTAGCACCGTTACCTTGTTCTTACGTCATCCTTCGTTGTTCCTCTTTTCTTCAAATTAATCATTTCTCATTACTAAGGTTATCATCTATAATTATTTCGACTACAGGATTAATTGAATAAAAAAGGATTAGAATAGTTAAAAATATAAAGATCTAGATTCAATCTTTATTGTAATTATTTTTGTAATCTTTTTTATTTAAAAAAAAAATCTATAATTATTTCACAACATCTATTTCCTTTCCTTCCATTAATGTTGATAGTGATTAAACATACAAATACTAATAGAGATATTTATTGTATATTCATTCAAACATAATATAAAAGTATTCAAACATATATAAATACTTCTTATAATCATAATTATAATTATAATTATGATAGATTGTAGTGTAAACACTTGTACTTTTTTTACATCTCCAACTAACTAAATTTTTTTCTTAGGTTTGTCATTTAAAAGGACTGTCACAAAAGTCAACAATATTTTCTTATATACGACAATTTCTAATCAGCTTAATGTATTAACTGAAAAAAATTCACAACATTAATGCATTTTGATTGAATTCATTTTGTTTTCAACTTTTTATCTTGTATTCAAATACACAATAGAAAATATTTATGAATAGGACAAAAAAAAATATATATATATATAATACCAGAGTTTTTTTATTTTTTTTATTTTTATAATTATAGTATATATTTTATCTTAATAATCATGGTTGGTTAAACTACTTCGGGAGTGTGAAGGTAAGTTTTAACACTAGTGTGACCATTTTTATAGAAAATTATTTCTATATTACTCTAAATAATATCATTAGAGTTATGCAGGAAGATAAAAAAGAAATTACATAAAAGTTAAGAGTAAAATGGATGATAAACTTTAAAGAAAGATACACTTATACAATCCTATTAGATGTCAATCAATGGATATTTTTTATCCATGTGTTAAAATCATATTATTTTTAAAAAATATTAATTCTATTTAATAAAATCTTTCAACCACTTTATTTTTAGGGTATTTTTGGGTTTCTCTAAGTTCATCTGACAATTTTACAGACAAAAAATTGGGCTTAATTTACTTTTGTTTTCAATAATTGTTTTTATATTGTAAGAGAAATCCTAAAGTTTATGAAATAAAACAAGCACCACCTAAAAATAATAATAAAATTTAGGGTGATTAAGTTTTAGACACAAGCTTTTGATTTCATTTGTATATACTTTAATGGATCCGTGAATTAAACAAATGCAAGGAAAACCGGAAAGTCCAAAGCCCCGTCTTACGCTAATAATCGATTATTTAATGAGTTAAACAACAGTGGCATCTCCTCACTCATTATTTTCCTCAAACTTCAATCTACGCGTTCACACCATACCACGCGTTCACACCTCAAAACATATATAATATCATCATAGTATAAAATAAAATACTAATTCACACCAAACCAAAACTCAACGCAAAGAGACACAATAACAACATAACACAACACAAGCCTCCTAAGACTTGGTGTACTTGCCAAATTGTGTTGTGTTCCCTCACAACCACAATTTCTTTCTCTCTTCGTGTTTCGTTTTGTCTTTATGAAACTCCCAACAACGTTTGCAGACCCTGAATCCCTCTCTTACCTTTACACCTTGCTCCAATCTTCCTTCGATCAAATGAACCACCCCAACAGTGATAACAACAACAGCAACAACAACGCTGCTTCCACCACCGGCAGAAAGCGCCGCAGAAAAAACCAAGACGATGATGACGATGAGGATGATGGTTCATCCAACAACCAAGAGGAACAAGGAAGCAACACCAAGAGGAGCAAGAAGAAGAAGGAGGAACTAAAGGGTATCCTCACTTCGATTCTGTTGTTGGATGAGCAAGAGAAGATGGAGCAGCAACACAACAACAAGGTCTCTGAGGAGGAGAAGTTTTCGTTGGAGACGAATCACAGGAAGAAAACCAAGGCCATGCTTCAGTATTATGAGAATCTGGACGAGTACTACAGCCACGTGGAGGAGTCCGAGAGGGTGAAGAGAAAGAAGTCACGTGGCATGGCACGTGCGGTGGCGGTTGCGGCGTGTGAGAGGGAGGGGGAGGGTGCGGTTGAAGGGGTGAAATCGGGTGTGGGGGGTTCGCAGAGAAGGTTGTGGGTGAAGGACCGTTCAGGGGCGTGGTGGGATGAGTGTAACAAAGAGGGTTTTCCCGAGGAAGAGTTTAGGAAGGCTTTTAGGATGGGAAGGGAAACTTTTGACATGATATGTGAGGAGTTGAATTCTGCTATTGTGAAGGAAGACACCACTTTGAGGAATGCTATTCCTGTGAGGCAAAGGGTGGCGGTTTGTTTGTGGAGGTTGGCCACTGGTGACCCTCTTAGGATTGTGTCAAAGAGGTTTGGTTTGGGGATATCAACTTGTCATAAACTTGTTCTTGAGGTTTGCACTGCTATTAAAACTGTGCTTATGCCTAAGTACTTGCAGTGGCCTGATGAGGGTGCATTGAGGAGGGTGAAGAGTGAGTTTGAGGGTGTTTCAGGGATTCCAAATGTGGTGGGGTCTATGTATACTTCTCATGTGCCTATTATTGCTCCTAAGATTAGTGTGGCTGCTTATTTCAACAAGAGGCACACTGAGAGGAACCAGAAGACTTCTTATAGTATAACTGTTCAGGGGGTGGTGGATCATAGAGGGGTGTTCACTGATGTGTGCATTGGTTGGCCTGGCTCAATGCCTGATGATCAGGTGTTGGAAAAGAGTGCCCTTTTTCAAAGGGCTAATGGGGGGCTTCTGAAGGGTTTGTGGATTGTGGGGAGTTCAGGGTACCCTTTGATGGATTGGGTTTTGGTGCCTTATAGTCAGCAGAATCTCACTTGGACTCAGCATGCTTTCAATGAGAAGATTGGGGAGGTTCAGAGGGTGGCTAGGGAGGCTTTTGCAAGGTTGAAAGGGAGGTGGTGTTGTTTGCAGAAGAGGACCGAGGTGAAGCTGCAGGACTTGCCTGTTGTGCTAGGGGCTTGTTGTGTGTTGCATAATATTTGTGAGTTGAAGGGGGAGAAGATGGACCCTGAGCTGAAGGTTGATTTGGTGGATGATGAGATGGTGCCTGAGGTTGTTTTGAGGTCAATGAGCTCCATGAAGGCTAGGGATGCAATTGCTCATAATCTTCTGCATCATGGCTTGGCTGGAACTTCTTTTGTTTAACTGAAAAGGTTGTGTTTGATAGCTAATGGTGTATGTATACCATTTTGCTTCTTGAGGTCATGATTCTTTTGCTTGTTTACAATTACATGGTGTTTATTGAAGTCATAGGTCATTGTTTGTTGAAGGGGCTTTGTATGTAAAAGATGTATTGGCCCTTTCAACAGATATGTGATGATAGTCTGCACAGGGTTAGATCCTGAATTTGTAAACCCAATTCCATACTTCAATTGCCAAATAAGAGATTGAATAGTAAAATTAGGACATTCTTTTGTAGCATTTCTTTTCTTCCTTGGACTCTGTTGGTAACTTGTGATTTTGTAATATCATATTCTTGACCTATGTTGTTTTTATGCTTATATACAAAGTTTGTGGATTCTTACACACCAGTTACAATAATTGGAAGCTGGTATTCTTAAAGGGTAGATGTCAACCTTACCTTCCCAAGCAGAGAGACTGTTTTCTGGATTTGAATCCATGACCTAAGCATAAGCATTAGTGTAAGTATTTGACAGAGCTTATGAAAATAACTTATGATAACAACTTGAAACCTATATGGAAACAATTTAACCGTATTTCCTCTTCGACTATAGAAATAACTTATAGACATGTGTTTATTATGACAATTGATAAACACTTATTCAATAAGTACTTAATTAAGTTGTTTGTCTAAAAGCACCCTTCATAGTTTTTTATCCTATCCATCATTATCTGAAGATTAATTAATATAACTCACTTGCATCAGTTTGTTGAAGCACACCTCTTGACAGAGAAATGACGCAACCTTCCTATGGAAGAGTGAATTACATCATTATAAATAACACACTACAGGAATCCTGTGATGTTGAGGAGCTTGAATGATGTATCTGTCTAGTGCAATGTCTTTCTTCAGTTCTTGTCTGTTAGCCAGGAAAATGCATTGTTGATGGACCTACACTAAAATAGAATCATTCTAGAACTAGCTTTCCAATGTAATCTTGTAATTAAAGTCAACGGTGATTAATTATTGACTGAGATAGTATCATTTAAGTGTAAGAAAATGGTATAATAACAGATTGTGGTTTTGTCAAGTGATTGATGCTGATTCTTAATCTTATTGACACCACTTCTGCATCTTTCATTTTCAAATTATGGTTTTAGTATATATTTATTTCATGAGTAATGCTAGTCTCACTCATGTCTTTTCCACAATACTTTTTAAAATAAGGAGAGAGAAAAGTGTGATACAAGAAGGGTGATGCAGTAGAGAGAAATAAAAAGAAAAAATGAGTTGTAAAATATGTTATAAAAAAGATGTGTGAATAGCATTATTGTTATTTGATAGTTCAACTCATTCTTGGGAACAGTTTAGTTTAAATTGTTGACCAGCATGACTTAATAAACTTTCTCCGTTCTGATCTCAATACAGGGAGGATGACTTTTATAGCAATTCTTTTTGACGGATGAGGTTGAGATTGAGAGTTGAGTGCTTCAAATCTAGCACCATCCAAATTTCTGTGCTTCTGTGTAGCTTGACTTTAAAAAATGAAGCTTATATTCTGTTGCCTGTTTGATCAATGACTTGGCTCTGTATAAAACTACAAACAATCCAGTACAAATTATCAAGGTTAATTAAGTAATTAATATGATTACTTTCAATTAATTTTATCATAAATTTAACTTCTATTTTAAATATATTCTTTTACTCTAGTTGTATTTAATGTTAGTTTTAAGTAAATACATAGAAAATAAAATTAATAATAATTAAGATATAAAAGAAATTTAATCTTGAATAACTTTAAAAACTATTATATTGATTGTTATTTATAATTAGAGTTAAAGAAAAATCTAACTTGTTTCTTATAATTATTATAACTAGAAATAATAGTAAATAAGAGAAGCACACCTATCCACGTTCATGTCATATTCATTCATTTTTCATAGAGCTTCATCTTACCATATAAATGAAAATCAGGGTTTTGTTATAGTTACTTATGTTAATTTAACTTTTATTACCTGTGACACATTTTTTTTAATTCATGTAAATGGTTGACACAATATCTTAAAATTGACAAACTAAAAGTTAATCTGTAATTATAAGACATAGTTTTCATTTGGACAAGCATAATGACACTTGAATTCTAATAGAATATTAAAAAATAAAAAATGGTATTATGTATTTGTTTTGTCATTTGATACCCCAACTCCTACATAAAGAGTCTCATTCCCTTCTTTTAATGTATATATTGTATTAACATATTACTCTTTCAACAAAAAAAGAAAAATTTAGTTCGAAACACTCGCATTTCAATGCATCTGCATGAAATTTAGACAAAAAAAAATGGACATACAAGACCTGAAAAGAAAAAGAGAAATGCTTTCCAAATCTAATGTGTAGTTGAAGGGTTGAACAACAGAGGTATTAACACGTTTTCTTCAGAAATTTATTGGTCTTTGGTCCATAGGCCAAGTCACCGCTATTGTCGGAACTGTTGTTCACATTAAAGAAGCTTTAGGTCGGTCCAAGCATCAACAATAATATATTTTTTTTTTTTGCAAAATTCTAGAAATTATTTGGACCTCAACTATTTATTTAAGGGTTTTTAACCCTCTCCATGTTTTTTTTACAAGATTTTAATTTGAGGTTTTATTTAAAAAAAAAAATCAAGTTTCTTGGTATTTGAATAAGAGCTTAATGTATATGCATAATCATAAATTATGGGTGTGTATGACTTTTAAATATTTTTTATAAAAATAATAAATTGGCCATACAAAACAATTTTTTACTGGATGACGGTAAATTTTTTTTATACTATTGTGCATAGACTATTTTCTCTTGATTATTAAGAATGAAGATTTTTCTTTTCACTTTATGAAATAACAAACAAATTAAAAAGTACAATCACTATTCTCATTTATGTTAACTTTATTTTCAATTTCTTAATATGATATTTATTATTATTTTCTTATTTGCAGTAGCTACATAAAATTTTAAGTAATTAATAAGAATAAGCGAATAACACTTGTTCAAGTTAATTTGAGTAGGATATCATATTTACCCATACAGATAATACTTTGCTATGAAGGAAATGTATTGACCTGAGATTAACCTTTCTTTAAAAAATGTATTGTCTTGCTATACATTATGAATAATCGTTATTGATTGATTCGATAATACTGAAATACTAATGAGGGGGGAAAATTTGAGGGAATGAATGAGAAAATGTAAGGATTGATTTAATAAAAAAAAATAAGTTAAAACATACTGTGAAATTATAATAATAATAAATTAATATTTTAATAGTGTATTTTATAAAAGTTAGATTTTTAATGTAAAAATATATTATTTAAATAATTATAGTTTTATTCTTTATTAATTAACTATTTAGACAATAGTTTAAGGATATTCTTGTTCATGTAATTTTTAAGAAAAATTTCACACAAATTCACCCTCAAGAGAGTGAAATTAAATTCATATGACTCTCATCACACTTTTTTCACAAATTTACTTAAATTATCTCTTTTAAACACGTTTTTTTTTTAATTCTTTGATATTTTTTTTTCATTTCTTACTAAATTACTTTCCCACAAGTAAAATAAATGAATTTAATATTTACAAACTACCTATAATTTATCATAATCTAACAAAAGTCACTCTTACTTTTCTATTTCAACTACTCAGTTAAAAGAAAGGAAAAAAAAAAAAAAAGTGTTTTTATACAATCCTTTTCTTATAGTCATTTTTCATTTTTTACATGAGAGGAAACTATGTTGTTAAGCGAAATGAGATAGTTAATTGGTGAAAGGCTCAAAGTAACGAGCATGGGACTGTAGAGGAAGAGCTATGACGCAGGATCCTTGTCCTTGAAAGTCACTGATATTTTGTGTATCCTATCTATTGCATACCCTAAAGGATGGTATGTATTAAAGCCATGAAAGGTTCAGGATTTTGCATCTATATATTTTAGTTAACTTTTTTTTTTTCAAGCAAAAGAAACAAGAAGAATGAGGTCATATATCATGAGACATTTTAAAAAACAATATATAACCATACAAACATATATAAAAACATATGCATAATTTTAATTTATGATTATTTATGCATATGAGTAGTGATTAGTCAAGAAAAAAATGTGTTTTATTATCATCAATACATACATGAGAGTTTCCCACTTAATCAAATATATATTTATTTAAATCTCTAAAATTAAAATAACCTAGACTGTGTCCTTATTGAAATCATATATTTAAATCTTTATCATAATTAACCTGCTCGTATTTGTTAATTTATTTATACATACATATGATTAAATGCTAACAATAATAATTTGCTGACACACATAAAAAATATGAATAATTAATGAATATTAAACCTTATTTGATTTATTGTAATAAAACTATTATTATTATTATCATTATTATTATTATGTTTTAAAAAATATAGAATAATGTAACAAGAACTACCGTAATAAAATGGATTAAATAAGATGAAAACAAAGCAAATAGGATGATTAAAAAAGGGTAAATAGTATATTAGTAAAAATAACATAAAGCAAACAAATCAAATGAGGTAAGGAATACCCCCACAAAACAAATATTGTTATATTTTTTTAAAGACATGATAGATGTATTCTCTCTTTATGATAAAGTTGTTGTAAAAATCACTTTGTTTCTAATAATATAATTTGAGTGATTCAATAATCTCTCTATTTTTGTTTCTAACCCCGTAAATTTTCATAAAAATTAATAAAATGTTTTTAATAAATAAAATGGGTTTTAGAAATAATATAATATAGAGGCTTTTGGAAATAAATAAGTATACTCTTTATATAATTAAGTATGATTTAATTTAAATAATGATGATTTGTAAAATTATATATTATGAATATTAGCATGTGAGGTAAAATGTGTCAAAACCGAACTATGTGTTGTGTGTTGTGATCATTGTGTGTTTTGATTTGTAATTGGTTGTGTTGTGGTATGTTTGTTTGTCTTGATTTCTTTGTTTGGTTACTTCTTGCTTACCTAAAAAGTAGTAGTTGTTGGTGGTATCACTCACCTTACTAGCATGGGTGCAAATAGTGGTGGACAACATTTGCATGCTGATCTTTTGGAGACTATAAAAAAATCCTTATTCATGTGATGTTGAACCTCTTAAGTTTGACATTTTAATCCAAGATAGTTGTTTCATGAAGAAAAAAAACCTTTAGTTGTACTATTTGATTTTTGTGCAGCTTATTCATTCATGACCATGTCACTCGTTCGTTTGTCAAAACTCAATTATTTTCTTTTCCTTAAAATATTATTTGATTGTTGCAATTCCTACTAGTGGTCTTGTTTATATTTTTATTGCCTATTTATAATATCCTTTGCAAGTACTTGTTGAAATTTTATAATTGACTTGATTTGTTATCTCTTAATTAACTAAACATGATCTTTTG